GGGGGGGGGGGGGGGGGGGGGGGGGGGGGCTGCAGGGAAGGGGAAGGCAGCGCTCACCAAAGGAGAGCGTGTGGAGAAAAGCACGGGGAGACTGGGAGGGAATAAATATGAGGATGGGAAGTGGGGGCTGCGGTCAGGTTGCCCCCCCACCCTGTGCCACAGGGATATGGGTGCTTCTTAGGCCAATGTTGCCTGGGTGGGGGGGTTTGTGCTGAATTGAAGCCCCCCAGAGGGAATGGAAGCGTTGGCCAAAGCCCGATGTGAGATGCTGTAATGAGCTTCATGCATTAAAACTCTAAAGCAGCGCTGGTGGAACCCGAAGAAGTGGAGACACTAATGGGGTAACTTCCCCAAAGGGAGAGTGGCCAAGTGAAATGGGGTTGGGGCGGTGAAAGCATCCCGGATCTAAGCACAGGCACAGGTGGAGATGGAGGTGAAGTCACACAGAACTCTAACTTTTCTCCCTTGGAATGCAGCAAACTGCACGGGGATGCTTCCTAAAGTCCCATCCCCACCAGCATTCCCACTTCATGAGGGCAGCTCCCCTCCAGCCACACACCTCTCCCTCTGCAAATTGGCAGTCCGGGTCTGTTGCAAATGGGTTTGAGATCTGATTGCAGAGGCAAGGAGCTGCTCTGACGGATCTCAGTTTCCCCAATGGCTGCAGATACTCGTGAAGGAGCCCTGGCTGGTGCTTGTTTAATAATAACTACAATAACAGCGGTGAAATGTGTTAATCGGCAGCAGAAAACAGACGTGAAATCTGCAGCTAAAAGTATTTTAGGATCTGTAAAAATCCCTGCGAATGATTTCTGAACGAGGTACAGATGGTAAAAGCAAGGATCGTATTTTAGGGATATTTTAGGGTTTCGCCTCAAAGTGGAGTCACTCTGTTTTTAAGGCAGTTTGGTGCAAGATGCTGAGACAGAGTTCAGACAGTGGGTACAAGTGGGAGCAAGTCCTGCTGGTGCTGGAGAAATGAAGCTGATGGTCTGAGGATGGGCATGGGACACTCCACCAGACTCAGCAAAGCTGCCAGCAGGAGCCACGGTGATGTGCGTGCAGATTTAACCTGGAATTGATTCAAGCCCCACCAGGCCAACTTGTGTGTGAGGTACAAACTACTCCCTCCCCCTTCAAAGATCAGCCGAGATTCATCTTAGCTGATCTATCTAATGCCAAATATTCAGTGTCTTGCTGTGGGCAGGAGAGCACAAGGGTGCATCTGCCATTTCTCACCTCTCTCCCAGGAGCTCCTGAAATGGGCAGACTCCATTCCCATTTGGCTCAGTGCAGTTGTCTGACCCCCAGGCTGCAGGAACTGCTTTGGGGCTCCATTTACGCTTGCTGTTCAGCTCTGACAAGCAGCTTTTCCTTGCATGCAAGACCAGCAAAGGGCTGTGGCCATTCTTTTCCTGCACTGCAAGGAAATCATCTGCACAGCCAGGATGCAAACAGCCTGGGGAAGCAGCAGAGCAACCCAGCCCGAGGAGAACGCATCCCAAATGATCCACATGTGTTGGCTGTGGGGTGAGGATGTTGTCTGAGTGCACTGGGGCAGTGACATGGGGGAAAGCAATGTGTTGTTGTTAAACCATTGTGCATGGGAGTAGGGTGAGCCATTCTGCATGGGGTCTGTGCCTCCTGGGATGTGTTGGACTCTGCTGGAGCAGAGAGAGGGCTCCCAGCATCACTTCCATCCCCGGTCCACTGGTCATGCCAATTTGTCACCAAGCTGGGATTTCAATTAAGCCCCCAAAGGAGGGGTCAGGGGTTATGCAAACACAGAGGCAGAGGCCACTCGCCTGGAGGGCTTCCCTGGGGCTGCTCCTGCCGGCCCCTCTCTTTACACAGCCCAGATTGACCCGGGCTGAGTGCCGGCATTGTTCCCCACGCTCCATTCAAGAGCCCGTTTGTCAATAAAATTGACCTCTCGGCTCCTGGTGATGCTGCCTCCTCCTCTTCCTCGCTATCCCTGCAGCTCAGCCAGAGTGGATCTGACAGTGCCCTCCATGGTCCTCATGCCCTGGATGTGCCCTGCATGTGCCAGGAGCAGGGAGCAGAAAGCAGCACTGCTGGGTGCTGCAGTGACCCCAGTTCTTTGCACTGCTCTCTGCCCTTGGGTCTCTTGCATTTGACCAAAGCCACTTGGCACCCTTGAAAGCATCACCATAAGCAGCAGCATCATTCATCCTCCCTGCTTCTCCTTTCACAACCATTCCCTGCTATTCCCACAAGCATCCCATGATGGTTTGCTGCTCCTTGCTGCCCACAAGGACTCAAAGGTATTTTGCTCCAGGTCCCATCTCCCCCCAGCACATCTCCCCATGCCAGCTGCTGCCTGTGGACACACCTACCCCAGCACCCTCCCGCTCTGTGGTGCACCACAAGGCCCCCCATGGGTTTGGACCATAGAATGATGGCTGCTTATTTTGCCAGGCAGCATGGTGAAAGGAGCAATGCTTGAACCTGTGAGCAGATTCAGCCGTGAGATAAATTTGTATTGCAATGCAAGTGGCAATTAGAGCCCCTTAGTGACTGTCCCTTACATAACACCTTTGTTCCCAGCCCTTCACTTTACATTCAGTTTGTAAATAAACTTGACTCCCAGTTCTGCTGAGGCCTCAATTCCCTCTTGATTTAATTTTATTCTTCGTTGGAGCTGGCAAAGAACGAGCTGATTGTTTGCTTGTACTGCCCAGGCACCCTGGAGTGGGCACTGCAGCCACCCATGTGCTGGGTGCCAACGATTTTAATTGCTGTGCCCCCAGTGCCAGCGCCCAGAAAGGCTCATTATGCTGCTAGCAATTATTAGTGTCCTGCAAACGGAGCTTTGTGATTGCAAGGGTCAAAGTCGAGGATGCTTATGTAGGGGAACAGCTTGGCAGCAAGGCTGGGTTCTGCTCCATGAGTTTGGGTCAGGGAGGCGATGTGGAAGACTCAGGATCACATTCAATTCATGGCCACATCCATCCTGTGTCCAGCCCACGGGTCTGGAAAGAGTCGGGGTTCGGATTTAGGTTATGTTAGGTCCTTTCCAACCCATGCCATTCTGATTCTACAATTTGCACCCATGGGCAGTGCCAGGATGCTCCGGGGCATGGTGCCTTGGTGGCTCAGAGCACTCACACCTGGGAAATGGCAGACACGGAACACCCGTGCTGCTGGGTGTTCTTATGGCACAGTGATGCCACGTGGCCATCAGAGCTGTCAGGCTCTGCTCTTTGTTTGGAGCAGGGATGCCTGGGCCCCTGTGCCTCTCCGAGCCTCCCTGCTCCCATCTGGTGCCCATTATCAGGCGTGTGCACCAGCCCTGTCTGACAAGGAGCTTTACAGGTGTCGCTCAGATAACAATTCACACTCTAACGAAGGTGGGAAAGATGATTAGCTGGCTTTCTATCAAGCAGAACACAGCATCAGCTGCTCCTTAGGGGGAGGTAGTAAGGGCCATGGATGTGTAAGGACACATACACCAGCAACATCACAAGCCTGGGCTTTGTCCTGCTGCTAATTCCAGTGCACTTGCAGGCACCTCTTTGTGTGCCTTAGTTTCCCCAGCTGTAGCAGAGCTGAGGTTATTGCTTTTCTTTGAGCAACACCCTCCAAGCAGCTGATTGAGCTCAGAAAAAAAGAAAGAGGAGGTGATGGAGGCAAGGACCTCAGCAGCTGAGCTGCCAATGTAGAGGGTAAGGTGCTGGCAGAGCCAGGACTCCCAGGGGACATAGCTGGGAGTAGGGGTGCAAATGGGAGCTAAATGGTGAACGATAAATTGGCTTTTCTGGGCTGTCCCCTGTACTGAGTGCACCCTCTGCAGATGTGTTGTGAGAGGTCACAGGGATGGGAACCTGAAGCACGAGGGGCTTCGGACCCTGCCACTGTGCTCAGGGCCTGCAAAGCATCAAGGCATGAAGCCGAGGCTGCGTCCCACCGGGTGCCACCGTCACAGCGCCCATCTGCACCCCAGCGCCGTGGCAGAGCAGCCCAGCCTCTCGCTCCAGGATTATCCGCTCAGCCGCGCCATCTGTTCACCAAACTGCCATCATTATGTTCAACTTGGGAAGAAAACGGCCCCTACAGAGAAGCAATTTGTTCGCTGACGAAACCTTTCAGGCTCGTCGCCGTCCCCACCGACCCTCGCCGCCGTGCGGGCCGGCTCTGTGCTTGCCTCGCTTAAACAGTCTGCGGGGAGAGAGGTGTGTGAGCCAGGCACTGGGAGGGTGCAGGGCTCCCTAATCCGATTATAGGGCATAAGAGCCTTCAGAGGGCCAAGGAGGAAGAGGAGGGAGTTGCACTCCACGCCCAACCCCAGCCCCGGGGGTCTTGCAATGATCTCACTGGAGGGGCTTTTCTTTCCCTCGCAGTGGGGTTGCTTCTGGGAGGAGATCAAAAGGGAAAAGGGCTGCCTGGGAAAGGAGGGGGGGGGAACACGAGTGGAGTTAGGGGCTGCAGGCTGGAGCCCAGCCCCAGTGTGCTTCTGCCTCCCATGGGTCGTGAGAAGCATCTTTCCCACGGCGCAGAGCCTGGAGGGGGGTTAGGATGGACCAGGAGCAAAACCCAGGGCCTGCAGTGAGGATGGAGCCTCACGTTGCAATGCTGGGCTCCTTTTTTTTTTTTTTTTTTTGTGGAAATGCAATGGAAACAAAGCATTCAGCACGCACCTTGATTTCATTGGGTACTTAGTAATGAGCAAGTGGGGATCCCTGGGAATGTTAAGGCAATGGTTTGATGTGTATCAAAGGCAAATGCTTTCAACTCCTGCTGCGGAACAGTGCACCAGCCTCCAAATTTTTCTCCATCATTTCTAAAAGGAATTAAAGAGCCCCATCTAGAAGTGAACATTTTTGATCACCCTGGAACCAAATAGTTAGTTTGTTGTTGTTGTTTTTTTTCCCCATCTCATTTCAGATCTCAGTGTATTTTCAGTGCGGTGCCAACCAGGACCATGGGGCATCCCCCTCTCAAGGGAACTGAGTGACATTTTGCTGCTCTGGAGGAGGGGTCATCCTAGTGCGAGGAGCTGGATGGGAGAAGGGAGGCCGCCTGCATGTAGGGGACCAGGCTGTCACCACGGCCTGGCCCCGGGCTGTGGCACCCTCTGGTGGCTGAGGTAATGGAAGGCTTAGAGCTAAGCATGAAATCCATGGCTCAAATGAGGAACCTGTGACTCCCCAGCACTGCTGTGTAGGGTGAGGGGGGGGCATCCTGGGGGCTTTGCTTTCTTCCCTGGCAAACAATGCGTGAATTCATGGGCAAATCCTGAAGTTACAAAAGAAGACAGAGGTGTTTTAATGGTGGTGGTCAAAAGGATCCATAGAAAAAGTCTCTGCTGTTTGCCCTTCAGTTCAGTACGCCCCTTCCCAGCGCAGCACCCTAAAGATAAAGCCTTCCCTATGTCAGGTGGAGAAAATGAAGGCACAGAGCAGAGCTGGCAGGCAGCACCTCTCAACCAAGCAAGGTCTGGATCTGGGCTGTCCCTTCTTCCCACAGCAAGAATCCAAATCACTGCAGTATCTCTTTGCTGTACATCCCTTGGGGACAGCATGGAGATGAGCCCGGCTGGGAACGTTGGGCTGCAGGCATTGCCTGGAACTCACCACGCTGTCAGGCGACGGTGCCTCGCTCCTCGCTGCTCGCCCCGCGGTCACATCCATCCTCATCCACCTGCACCAGCACAGAGAGGAGCGGATTGGCTCAGGGGTGAAGCAGGACTTCGGGGGTAGGGAGGGTTGTGACAAAGCTGCCTTTCACCCTGGCCCAAGGATGGTACCCCCCCCGAATACCCCCACTGTACCTCCCGCAGCACTTTGCTCTCCAACTCGTTCCCCTCGGGGGGAGACCTCAGCACCTTCATTCGCAGGAGGACTCCTGAGGATGCGGAGAATCCGCCTGAGCTCGCGCCGAGCTTCCCCTGCCACCTAGCGGCCTCTCAGCCGAGCTGCGCCGCGTGGGCTCCTCCGCGTCGGTTTTGATGGTTTCGGTGGGATTTTTTTTCTTTCTTTTTTTTTTTTTTTAATACACGGGGTTTGAACTCACCCGTGATGCCGCCCCCGAAGGCAGCCAGCAGCAGGGTGATCAGCAGCCCGCATAGCTGCCACTGCGCCTGCTCAGCGGTCGTGCGGCTGCCGTCGGCCACCAGCGGGAAGACGAGCTGCAGCCTGCGGGGAACGGAGCCCTGGGCTCTGCTTGTGGCCACGGGGGGGGCACCGGAGCAGCCCCCATATCGGAGCGTTCCCCGGTGCCGGCTCTCCTCACCTGTCGCCGTATACATCCGCAGTGGCCAACGCTGCCAGCAGTATCCCCAGGAAGGTGCCCAGGATCCCCGGCAGCCCGTGGACGTTGTGCACTCCGCACGTGTCCTCGGTTTTCAGCCTGGATCGCAGGATGGGCTGGGGGATGCACGGAGAGGAGCTGGGTTTGGGTGGGGGGAATGCTCACCCCCACTGTTTTGGCTGAGTTAGGAATGCGGCTCCCCTGGCTCCAAAGATGCAGGACCTCATTGCTACAAGGGAACTCACCGAAAGGAACCTGGAGCCAAGCAGGGAGAGCTGGCTGGCCAGAAAGCCTGCTGTGAGAGCCCCGAAGGGGGTGGACAGCATCTCCCCCGCCATCCCCATCACGGCTGCGCTGGCCAAAGTGGCATCCTGGAGCTGGGCCTGAATGGAGCAGCACAGAGGGGTTGTCCTCACGGAGAACATCAGCATGGGGCTGAGGTTTGGGTTTCCATAGGGTTCAAGCTGGGTTTTATCTAACCCAAGAAAGCAAACCAGCATCCCCTTGTGCTCCCTTGGACATCATCATGCTTCCTGTCCCTGCAGGATGGACAGGGGCTTGGCTTTGTCTCAGGAGAGGACCTACCACCTGCAGCGTGCCCTCCTCATACAGGATAGGCGAGAGGACAAAGGTGGCCAGGGTGCTTGCTGACAGAGAGAAGTAGAGGTTCAGCACTGCCCAGGGCTCGGCGCTGCTGTGGGTTGTGGTGGCTGAGGCAAAGCTGGGCCAGAAGATCCACAGGCAAATGGTTCCTGTGGGAGGTGAATAGGCACACATGGGCACTGAGGTTGCTCCCTCGAGGGAAAGAACCTCCTCTTGCTAGTGCCAGAGATGTACAAAGGGACAACGGCCACAGCTGGCAGTGTGAGCAGTTTGGGCTGGACAGGAGGAAAAGCTTTTTCCTTGGAAGGGATCCCCTGGAAGGTGGAGAATCTCCATCCCTGGAGGTCTGCAGACCTCAGCTGTACAGTGGCATGACTGCATGCCCTAGCACTGGTGGCAGTCCTTCCCCCACCATTCCTGTTATTCTGGCGTTGTAGGGCTCAAGCTTCATACCAACCACAGCAAAGACATCAGGCTGGTGCCCCATGTCCTGCTGCTCTTTCCTCTTGTCCTTGTGGAGCTGGTGCAAGACGCGTGAAACCGTCAAGCCAAAATAAGCACCAAAAGTGTGAATGGTCAAGGAGCCTCCACTGTCGCTTACCTGGCAAGTACAGAAAGCATTGTGCTGGGCAGGGTATGGGATCTGCCTATGGCCAAGGCATGTCTTGATGGCAGGAGCCAAAACAGAGACCCTGACTATTCCCTTTCTGGGGGGTGACTCACCCCCAGGTGGTTCCGCAGGATGTATTCATTGCAAGCAAAGAGGGGCACTTCCAGCAGAGCCATCAGCAGCATCTGGATGGGATTCACCCTGCCCAGAACAGCGCCGGTGGAGATGAGGATGGCTGCGGTGCAGAAGTCGGCACTCACCATGCTGGGAAGGAGAGGTAAGGCACTGAGCTGGACCCAGTGCAGCCAGGGCAAGGGCAGGCACTGGGGAGAGTGGGTGGGCTGGATCTGAGCCTGAATCCCACATGCCATACCCTACAACCCAAACTCTGCAACCCAAACCCTGCCTCCCCAACCCTGCACCCTGCACTCCACACCCTGCTCATGCAAGCTGAATGGGCAGCCTGAAGCTTTCTGTGTCGGTGGCAAGGCTTGCATGGCTTGGGCAAGTGGGTCTCAGCGTTCCCCTAAACACTCGGCTGATGCTCAGATAGCAGCTGGTCCTCACAACCCTCCTCCAGAGCAGAGCAGTGAGTTTTACAGAGGAGGGAGCCAGTGTGCAAGGGATGGAGCTGGGCTGGGCAGCATTGGAGCAGCAGCACCCTTCCTGCCTTACCTCTGAGTGCTCACATAAATCTTGCCGTTCTGGGAGAAATAAAAGAGCCCCTGGGCCAGTATGGCCCACTGGATGGTGAAGGCCACGATGAGAAGGCTGCCAGCCACACTGCCCACTCCATAACGGCTGAGGAAGGCCAGTAGGAAGCCAAAGCCGAGGAGAGCTCGGAGGTGGGCATCCCGGAACCCTGGCAGGAGGCAAAGGGGGGCTATGAGGCACCACAGGCAGGTCCTGGGTTTGGGTGAGAGTGACCCCCACCAGATAGCCTGGAGTCGAAAAGGTTTTGGGGTGTTGGAGCCTTCAGCTGATGGCAATCAGCCTTTTCCACCCACATGTCCCAGCACAACAGGGAACTGTGTCACCTCCTGGCAGCAGTTCCCATAAATGCACATGGTTTGCCCCATAGCCTGGAAGCTTTTTGGAGCAGCTCCTGTAGCCCAGTCCACACTACTAACACGGGGGTCTTTAGAGATATTGGCCATAGTCAGGGACTCTCTCTGCAAACGTAAACAGGGGTAAACAGGGACCCAACACGCACAGCAAGCAGTGCCATTGCCCCACACCTGGCAGTGACATCAAGCAGAGGACCCACATCCTGCTCTGGGACGATCTTCCCTTTGCATAGCAGGAACAGGTGAGTCAGCACACAGGTGTGGATATGTGGGTGGAACTGGGAGAACTGGCCCACACTTGGCCAACCACGTCAGTGCTGCATGGGGAGGGAGGTGGCCAGGAGGGGCCGAGCCCTGCACAAGGGCTGGGGATTGGGTCGGGATGGATGGCACTGTGGAAGGGGCTCGGTGCCAATCTCCTGGTGCTGCTTACCCGTGTGGGTGGAGTTTGTAGTCCCTGCAATGCCAGGAGCACCTGGTCCCGGGGGGGGGGGGGGGGAAGCGGTGTGCATGGCTGGCTTTAATCTCACACGATCCCCATGTCCACCCCTGCTCTCTTTTAAGGGTCAAAGCCGAGCACTGCAACTTTCTGCACCCATGCCAGGAGTGTGGGGCAGGCAGAGCTGCTCCCTGTGCCCCCCCTTCACCCCCCCCCTCCCAGGGGACAGGGTACTCACGGGGGTACCCCAAAGTCGGGCTGGGGTCTCTCTGGCTGCAGCTTGGCTCTGTGGAGCAGAGGTTGGAGCTCTCCGGGCTGTACCGGACAAAGGTGGCGAAGAGGACGATGGTGAGGAGCTGGAGGAAGAAGCACAGCCCAGAGAGGTGCAGCCTTGCAGCAGCATGCTCAGCCATGCTGCAGAGCTCACCGAAGTGGCTGAGAGCTGCCTGCAAAGCCTGCCTGCAAACCACGCCTGCGAGGTCAAGTCCTGCCCAGGAAAGCCCAGGAAAATGAGGGCAAGAAGCGACCTGGGGCTGCTGGCAGAGCTGGTTCCCTCTGGGGTTGGGAAGCCGCAGCAGAGCCTTTCTTTTGCTTTGCTTTGCTGTGGTGGAGTTGTTTGTCCTGCACCAAGAAGGAAGAGGAAGAGGAAGGAGCTGACAAGTAAAGTATGGCCACTTTGGGGGAAGTGGCTCGGGTGCTTTGTTGGTGCAGCCAAGCTGTGATCTCACGCTACCCAAATGAA